CTTCTGGTGGAACCGACTTTCGAATCTCTTCACCCAACACTTTCACTCGAAATGGAAGTAAGCTCAACAAGAACGTTTACAAGGCTGTCGAGTCGATCGGTTAGAATTAGCTGAACACAGGACGGTGATTGGACATGAGCTAGAATGTTCTCACGCTCAGGTCTGCTGATTATGGAATGCCTGTTAGGAAACGCAAGAGACGCCATTAAAATTAATTGATTAGGGAATACGTTGAATTCTTGGGATGGTGGCAAAATGTTAAGTGAGGATTAATTATCCTTGATTGAAAGCAGAGGGAGGGTGCTGATATCTCTGATTTATGACCGGCATAATGTTATTACATGAACACATGCTCGAGTTGAAAAGAGTTAATCAAACCATTTAATACTAATCTATTTCTAAATATCTTTTCGTTATAATTGTATGTATCATGTAGAACAGTTCTGGTCAGTCTTCTTAGCTTAGTTTTAACATGAGACTTTTGCAATAATGACTCCTAACTGTGATAGTATTAGTCCTATAACAAACGAAAGCTCAACTCCTCTTCATCCAAAACGAGGGAATATGTCTCATAGATTGCGCCAGCCTAAACGTCCTTTTAGAGCGTAATGGCGATAGTACAACTGAAATCAGCCGTCTTTAGTGAAACCGACCTACGAATCTCTTCATCATTTACTTTTATATGAAAAATTCTCTGCAACAATAGTATCTCAGGAGATTTATCGAAACTCAATTTCTGTTCGTATATACAACTTAATTTTAGTTCAGATAGCTATGTAAATCCTCAAAAATATTATAGATGAATTTCTTTCATCCCTAAGTCATTGTGTTTTTCTTGGCCCAGCTAACCACCGAGCCACAATTCCAAACGAGGCAATCTAATTTTACATTAGGCCCAATTTTTTTATCTTATCATATTTCTGGCAGTGCTGCAATATGAACTCATTTTATCTAGCCTCAATTTTGAAGCGTAATCAAAATACTTTTATTTTTAGAGGTTGTTTAAACATGTTTTTGCAACTTGGTCATATTAGTAGGAAGACCTAGAGGATGCACCTAGTCCTGAGTCCATAATATGCATAATAATTTCCAGAGTCGGACCGTGGACGTGGTACATTATTAGACATTTAGCCTGCATCGTCAGTGAGCATTGCTATTCTTAGCACCACAGTAACGAGTTGTAGTGTGGTGCGTATGGACTCCGGACTAGGTGAGCTCCTCTAGGCCTTCCTACCAATATGACCAAGTTGTGAAAAAAAATTCATACAACTTTTATACAACGAAAGGAGACTGTGACCATACAAAATGCCACACCATCTTGGTCTTCATACCTTTGATTATACTTTTATTGAATTCATTACCACTAGTTTCTTATTTTTTTGGCTTAGCACCTTATTCTACATCGAGGTCCCGGACCAACGCTCCTCGTCTTATATCTCTAGCCTGGTGTTTGCACATTGACTTTGTCTGCGGTACCTGCCCCACAGACATAGCATCTATTGTGCCTGCTCGGACCATCACTCCATCACTCCTGGTGGCTAGCCCTCTTTGTGATTCGATTATGTTGAAGCAGGCTACTGTACACAGAACTGTCCGTGGAAAAAATGGTGGTATTGATAGCAGTGAAGCAACATTTTCCAACTCCTTACCATCAGCTTTCTTCTCCACCTGCTGGGATGACCAATACAGTCCAGATTTCAGAGGTCAGTGTGATCTGGACACAGGCAGTCTCGAAGACCTTGCGTCAGGGCTCGCAGTTACACACTATTGTCTTCATTATATCAGACTTGCTGTCCACGAGGTTTGTTTATCCTACTCGTTCGGTTTATGCAAATATACTTTCCATACAATGAATTTTTAGATAAACTAAATTATCGGAACTTGACATTTTTTGTCAACCGATGTTACCTAGCCTGGGTTATATTTATGCTATGGTAACTTAGGTAGCATTCGAAACTATACATCGAATTTGTATAAGGACTATACTCACCGTAGCTCTTTTCGGATGATAGGGACACCCGTTTAGGATTCGAAAAGGGGTCGTGCAATTAAAGTAGAAACATATACCCACTTAACCATATCGCCGAAATTCCACTTGACTATATGACTTTCACTTTAGGCCAGACCTCGACCAATTGAAATAGGATCGATGACAGCGAGACACATTTAGTTACCAGTAAACTTGATGATATTAGGATATACAGTGTAAAGTATATTCGTATTGAGGCTTATAGTAAGAAATGCTTTGCTTTTTTTATAAAATTTGAAAACCTTATGCACGGGATTAACTCTTTCTTTAGGGATTATTATTTATATTTATGAAAAAGATAATATACGTAGAGTAGCATGATTTATCTCTCACTTTTTGTCCCCTTTAAATGTAGGTAAATTCAAGGGCATTTACCTACAGGAATCGCCCAAAACATTGTGACTTCTTTAGACACTTAATACATCTATTCTTTATTCAACATTCTATGAAATATTCTTATTTTATCGTTACAATATTAAACTCGACCTATACGAAGATCTTTTTGGTCACTTTGCTGCATAAACTCATGCTATAGTTAACGATGGATTTAGTTCTTATGGTAAGATCGTTAATTTTTAACTACTAGAACCCGAGCTCGAAAGTCAAATGCATGCCCCAAGTGTATCCATGCCTACTTAGCATGACCACACATTTACTCCATACTCCAGCTGTATTGCCAGGCCTTTTTTTATGCCACTTAAAGGTTTACCCTTCTGGTAATGGCATTTAGCCATTAAGGATTTTTCTGTATCTGATTCTTTAGAATTATTTAAAATGCTGTAGTGCTCTGTCCTCTTACCTGACAAAATGAAATGACTTTCACGGGACAACGAATATATTAGCTGGTGCTTAAAATTGGGAATTGGGTAAACTGCTGGATG